GTGCGGTTATCTCCGTCGTGAGAGAAAGCACAGAGGCCATCGACTTTTTGAATGTAGACAGGTGCCTTTGCAAAGCTGGCTTTCTTTCGCGTTCCAAAATCTCTATGAAATCTGGAATCTGTTTCGGGTATAAGTTAAAAAAAATTATCTGTTGCAGCTGAGACTAAAAAAACGATTTTTTAGGTTAAAGATTTATCATCCAAACGTGCCTGTTTCATCCAAACATCTCCATGGACACAAAGAGACAGCTTACAACTTCAATATTCATACCAACATTATGCTACCAGTGCCAGACCTGAACATTAAGTAAAAACCCATGAAGGCAAAAAATCACTGCATGCGAAACGAAATGTCTCCGCAAAACCCTTAACACAACAAGACGAGACAGGTAGAGAAATGAAGAAGAAGAAGTAAGAGCAGCTGTTGGTACTGAGTCTTGCCTGCATTTCATAGTAAGACAGAGAATAAAATGGTTTGGCCACCTGTTACATATGTCATCTAACCAGCCAGCCTCGAGAGCCTGTAACACCAAACACTCAGGATATAAAGGAAGAAGAACGCCACGCAAAAGGTGGATCGAGGGTGTCAAAGAAATGCTGAGAAATCATAATGTCCCAACTGAAAGAGTTGCGGGGCTGGCCTACCACAAAAATCTGCACCTCCCCGCGACGTTTAACGGCAAGATGAGATGAAAAAGTAAAAGTAAAATAAGTAAATATCTATCTATAGGCCGAGCCGTGTATACACCCTTGAGGCTTTACAAAAATCATTATAACCCCCTTGGCCGGCTCGCCTTTTCCAAATTACAGCTCTGATCGCCGGAGAGACATACGGGGTAACAGTCTAGTAAGTGCATTTTAAATGTCGTCTCTGCAGATTGTTGGGTGTCTTTCTTCAAGTATGTGTCGGGTTACGCCTTTCCAACTGTCCACGGAAACAAAGGCTCTGAATAAAACAATGCCATTTAAACTTCTCTTTTCTTTTCTTTTTTTTTTTTTTAAAAAGAAAGTGTTTTACGCCATAACATCGATACATTCAGATCAATTAGGAGTCAGGACCAACCCGGGCTGAGGGGGATACAACATCACAGCAGAAAGATCCACATACATGTACTCGAGAATCGACTTCGGGTCTCCTGCGTGCGACAGCAAAGAGCCTAACCGCTATACCACAGACGCTGGTACTCACTCTTTTCGTACCACGACGAATGGTCACAAAGTTAACTTCGCTAGACGGATAGTGATTAGCTATACGCTCTTATACAATCTCTAAGCGTTTAAGTATTAACCTTATAACACAAAGAATGGACAAGATAAAACTTTTCTCATCCATTGCCCCAAAAAGAGATCACAGTCAAACCGCTTGAACGGCCAACTGTATAAAGCAATCACTTGTACTAACAGCTGATTTGCTTTCTCCCACTTGCGTTTTCCCCTCATTATAATGGCACTGTTAGAGACACCCATTTTTGTCCTCGACAAAGGGTCGTCGTCTTTCAAAAGTTCGTATGTGTTCACCAAAGAGAAAACCAGGCACTCACAGGTACGAGTTATTGTAGCAATAATTCGAAGACATGAGGAAAGAATCTTCCTGCTTGGCACATCATACTGCAAACAAGCTCTCTCTCTCTCTCTCTCTCTCTCTCTCTCTCTCTCTCTCTCTCTCTCTCTCTCTCTCACACACACACACACACATACACACACACACCACATACACTATACCCCGCCCCCCCCTCTCTCTCTCCTAAAGCACACATAGACACACACTATCTCTCTCAGTGGGCACATACACACAAATACGCACACACACAGACACGTACACACTTCTCTCTCACCCCACCACCCCTCTCTCTCTCTCCCCTCTCTCTCTCTCTCTCTCTCTCTCTCTCTCTCTCTC